TTTTTCCTCATGTTTCTTTACACTGTAGAGCTCTACAGTTAGGGCAAGTTAGGGCAAACTACTGCTATAAAATCTTAATCTAAATCCTGATTTTGGCCTTTCAGGTACTGTGGTAAGATACTATCTATCTTCATTGTAAAGCTGTTACATCCCAGAAAATCTACTTGCTCAGCCTTCTTGGCCCTTTTAGCTGTTCTTGTTACTTCAAGGTTGAGGGCATTTCAGGACCGAAACCCACAGCTTCAGAACCAGCTTCTCCTTCCTCTTCAGATGATGGACAACTCTCTCTGTTTATGCATGGACTTCATTTTTTGTTTGTTTTATTCTGAATTATAGAGGCGCTTCTCTGATCAGGGATTAGTGCTGTTGGATTGGCCTTGGTAACAAGCATCCCTGGCTTTTCTGTTGCATATTGTTTAATTTCACTTGATGTTATTAATTGCATATTGTTAGTAGGTTTTGAATCTGCAGGGTATGGTTAAAAAAAACTCAAGATGTCAGCCACACTAGTGAAGTTAACTCTAACTTTTCTTTATGTGTGATGCACTTATTGACAGATCTTCAATTGCATGTTGCAGATGCCATCTTGACTTTTTTGACCACACCCTACAGATGCTCCTGTTTTGTATGGTCTAGTTTCTCTACTAATTGAAAATACCTGCTTAATATTCCACTATTGCTTTAAAGTTAGAGTTGCCTCACTCTGTAACAAGTCTATTTCACAATTTTGCACCACATTTTAATCAAATGATATCCCTTTATTCTTGTTCCCTCCTGAGTTTTTAAGATGATGATGATGATGATGATGATGATGATGATGATGATGATGATGATGATTCAGCATGAAATCACAGCTGCCAGTTCTTTAGCTGGAGTTGGCCTTCGTTTGCATTGAGTTCTTCCCAAGAACCTAGGATGCCGTAATGCATTGGCGTAGTATACGTGCGGATCCAAGCAGGGTGGCCTTTTATAACTGACAGCTGGAAATTTTGTCAATGTGCAGATTTTCTAAGTAATATCCATAGCTTTTTGGTATGGCACCCAGTGTACTGATAACCACTGGGACCATGACTGCCAGTTTATTATTGTTGGTTGCACAGTCAGCCAGATGTTTAGACTGGATTTGGAATTTTTATCCCTCTATCGAGTCCTTCCCAAGGACCTGGGACAGGCAGATGTTGTTGTCTGATGGTGTTAAAAGTATTGTCATAGGATGTGAGCTGTTCCAAGTAAAGCTGCCTTTGGAATTGACTGATGGTGATTTTGTCAATGCTGATGGTCTTCAAGTGGTACTCCAGATGTTTTGTGATTGCACCCAAGGCACCTATTACTCTTGGTACCATCTTTGCTATCTTTTGCCATAGTCATTCTACTTCTATTTGCAAGTCTTTATATTTTGTGATTTTCTCCAGTT